TTTTTTTAAAATTTTTAAAGTATAAAATTGTAAATTTGCAATTGTTTAAGGAAAGAATGAAATAAAAAATCTAAAAATGTAGTTGTTATTTAAATATTTTAAATGAATAATACACTAACTGAAGAACAACCACATTTAATATCCTGACGGTTCAAAAAAAGCGACGAGGTAAAGAACCGTAAAGAAACCCTCGAAGGAGCTTATATATCGCTCACCTAAAAAAACTAATTACATATCTACATTAACATAAAAAAATTATAACTTATTCTTCAGAACTCGGACTTCCATCTGTTGTTGCATTCATGTAATGCTCCGATTCGAGTAGGTACGATGACTCTTGAGCTCGACGTCTTGCCAAGAGCCAATCTTGGTTGCAAATCAGTGTTTCAAGAGATTCAGCGCTAAGACAACTTCGAAAGTCGGTTAGAATGTTGCCGCTAGCACTGAATTCTCGTTCAACTGCTACGGTTGATACCGGAACGGATAACATTTGTCTTGCTAGCATGCCGAGACATGGGAACATATGTTCGTTCCGCTTCCACCATCCGAGCACATCAAAATCCACGTCGTCGTCGTCGTAATCGCATGGCACACCCTGGTACATAGCAAGTTCGTTGTGCGAGCTTACTGTTGTACCACTTGAACTCGTCGAAAAAATGAGCACGCTTCCCTTTCTTTGCAAGAAGACCACCGACTATTCCGGCAAAACCTTTTTTTGATTTCGGGGGCGGAGGTGGTGCTGTTTCTTCTTGTACAGTGCCGTATAACCCTTGATATTCCTCAAACAAATTCTCAAAAAAAGTTATAGCATTATCTCTTTCTTTTTTCCATTCTATTAAATGACTGTATAATAACTATTTTCATCTAAAAAACAACTATAGTAATACTCAATTAAAATTTTAAAATTTTCAATCTTAAAGCGTGGATCACAAATAATACCTATTTTATAAATATCAGGAATGAACAAATAATAAGCACACCATTTATCTCTCATAGGAGCGACATAAGGGTACAACTCTGGATCAGCCATACTTTCACGAAAACATGTTGCGATTGTAACGCACTCTTTAAAAAATGTATTTGTAGTTGGTTGGTAAACATGAGAAAAAGTAAGAGTTGCGTTATTAAAAACTTCTAATACGGCATTCAATTTTTCAACAATAACAAATTCAGAAGGATTAATGATTATACGAAGTTCATCACTAAAAAATTCAGCAAGTTCCTCTTTATATCTTAGAATCTGATGAATCAATTTGTAAGTACTATTCCATCTAATGTGGATATCTTTTGCAAAAACTATTTCTTTTTTACCCTTAGACTTACAGAACATCTTCCAGGACCTCGAAACAAGACGAGACCCCCAAATTCTTTTAATTCCTTCTTTAATATTCGTCAAAACTCCGCCCATAGCTTCTAGTCCCTGTTGAACACATAAATTTAAAACATGACAGACACACCGTTGATGCAGAAATCTACCCATAGACGTAGACGGTGGACAAATTTCTTTAAGTCTAGGAATAGC